TTTTGCAATTGAATTTAGTTGCAAGGGTAGAGAGCTCACTGTCCTCCATATTAATTCCCAAAATCTCAGATTTTTGGTGGTTGATTTTGAGCCCGAATGCCTCCTCAAATAAACGGCTGATGTTGAACATGTTGGTGAGGGAGGAGTCCTCAAAAGTGGAGAAAAGTATGGTGTCGTCTCGAATTGAAGATGATGGATGTTCAGAGAATTGTCTCCAAGGTCAAAACCGTTTATGTGGTTTCTGCTGGCTGCCTGTGACCTTGCCGGAGGCCTCTTGTAGCAATGATTTTTCCTCTCGGGCGGCCGTTTATAATTATAGAGAAATTTGCAGAGGAGATACAGCTGTGGATCCACTTCCTCCACGTGTGTCCAAACCCTTTAGCCTCTAACACCGTGTCAAGGAATTCCCAATCAACACTATCGAAAGCCTTTTCAATATCCAGTTTGATGACAACTCCCTTTTTTTCCTTCCTTTCACAATCCTCAATAAGCTCGTTAGCAATCAGCGATGCATCAAGGATTTGTCTCTCAGCCATGAAGGCTGATTGGGCATCAGTGATAGTGTATGGCAGTACTCGCTTGAGTCTCTCGGAAAGAACTCTTGCTATGATCTTGTATAAGCATGAGATGAGGCTTATAGGGCGAAAGTCCCCTACTTGCCTGGTGTCAATCTTCTTGGGGATGAGGCATATATACGTCTCGTTGAGGCTTGCGTTGATAATCTCATTCTTAAAAAAATCTTGGAACACTCTCAAAATGTCGTCTTTGAGGGTGTTCCAAAACTTTTTGTAGAATTCTGCAGTAAAGTCGTCTGGTCCAGGGGATTTGTTAGATCCTAAATCTTTGATAGCATTCCAAATTTCTTCTTCAGTGAAGGGGGTTTCAAGGCCAGTGCTTTGTTGTTGGTTGATGGGACTCCAATCCAGGGGATATGGGAGGAATCTTTGTCCCCCACTTTTAGAGTATAACCTGTCAAAAAAAGAGAGAAATTCTTTTTCGATGTCATTTTCTTCAAAAAGGATCATACCATTCATGGAAAGAATTTCAGTGATGGTGTTCTTTCGTCTCTTCGATGCTACAATACGGTAAAAGAAAGATGTGTTGTTGTCCCCCTCATGAAGCCATTTAGTTTTGCACCTTTGACGCCAAAGAATCTCTTCTTTCACAGCCACCTCAAGGAGATGTGTTTTGATGGATTTCCGCTGGATGCTTTGTACAGTGTTCAGGAGCCCTTCCTCTTCTAAGTCATCCAAAATAGCTAGCTCTGAAGTGAGATGATGCTTTTGTTGTGCTATGTTACCAAAGGTTGTTTTGCTCCAAATTTTGATCACTGCCTTTAACCCTTTCAGTTTCATAGTGAAACCATGACCTGGCCAGCCTCTAAGGGGAGTGTTCTTCCACCAATATTCGATCAAAGCAGGGAAGGAGTGGTGTTGCAGCCAAGCATTTTCGAATCTGAAGGGTGTGGGACCCCATTTTGTCATGCCGAAAGACAGATGAAGAGGGAAGTGATCGGATGTGGGGCGGCTCAGCCTTTTGACAGTCGCATTCTGAAATTTCGACAGAAAATCATTAGTGGTCAAAAACCTGTCTATCAAAGTGAGGGTAGGAGGGTCCCTGTAGTCTGACCACATGTATAAGCCGTTAGAAAGGGGGAGATTTTGCAGACCGGCTGATTCAATAAAAGTGTTGAAATGGTGCATATTCCTGGTTGGCCTGCGATATGATGATTTCTTGTGTGTCCATCTGATAGAATTAAAATCACCTCCCAAAAGCCAGGAGTCGGTGCAGAGGAAAGAGAGGTCTAATAGCTCTCTCCAGAAAGTTGGCTTTTCCTCTGTTTTTGTAGGGCCGTATACTCCTGTCAACCAGAACTTAGAACCGTCAAACAAAGTGAGAAGGATAGTAAGAGTGTGAAGACCTATTGTGACATCTGACACATGAAAAGAAGGGTCGTTCCACATGATCAGGATACCCCCTGATGTGGCCGAGGCATCGAGAGAAGTCCATCCAATGTCGCGGGAGCTCCACAGTGACTTTATAGTGAGACGATCAACCATATCCAACTTAGTTTCTTGTAGGATAACAATGGTGGGGTTGTGTTT